TCAGCTGAGCCAAGCAATAGTGAAATATTTCTTTTCTTGCCAACTCTATCAGAAATAAAGCATAAGCTTCCAATAGTCTGAGGTCTCTCATTTGTTGTTTGTGGCCAATACCTAGAATAGAAACAAACAATTATCCCAGTCACATAGTAGGCACTCAATACTTTATAACTAATTAAAATCATGGGTGGTCTGAACTATGCCAGGAAAGGTAGTTATCAGAGGCTAAAATCTGCTCTGTGAGATGCTGTGAACAAGCAGACTTGGGATGCAGATCCAGGAAAATAATTTTTTCTGTGATATTGTGTAAGCTCTGCTTGCCTACATTATAAATCCCACATTCCAGGTTCTTTAGTAATAGTGGAATAAATGCCTCCCTTTAAAAGATAAGACTAAACTTTGGGAGATATCTGTATAAATGCATAAAAACAGAGAAAATGACAAAAATCTGAAAATAAATGTTTGCTATGTATAGATCTGTAAGAGAAAGGAGTTTATAAATGTATACTTAGAATTCAGTGATCAGGCTTCTAGCAATAGTTTGTTCATAATCTAACTTTCTTAATATCTTCACAAATACTGTTTGGGAAATAGAATCATTTAAGCAGTATACTTAAAAGGAATATACTTCAAGTCACATCAGAGACCTAAAAGAAAATGGAAATGATTATTTCCCAGTTGCTTCTTCAGAATGATATCTCTTAAAGTGTTACCACATCCCTTAATAGGTGACATTTACTCAATGCATTCAGGGCATTTTCAGGACAGGCGGACGCTTACATAATCTTGAGTGGAAAGATGATGTCACTTGTCATATATCGTCAATATGTCCAGGAAGAGGCCACAGACAATTCTCTCTACATTAGATGGTCCCTACAGACTTCCGAAAACAGACCTCACTCCATCACTGGCAGGTTAGAGAGAAAACTTGGGGCTCAACTTGAGCAGCAAAATGATCAGATTCCTGCAATTTCAATATAATTCAGGAAATATGTAATGAAATTATGAATTCAGTATGAATGAATGGTGATCACAACCTATGCAGGCTATGGGGATGTTGAAAAAAAAGTCACTGAAAATACTGTTCAGGAGACAGTACTAATGGACCTCAAAATGTTGAAGCTCCGGCAAATATTGGTGTTAGGCACGGAGATACTGATGAACACTTAGGCTTTCTTCTTACTATTGGTCTTTGGGTTTAGTGTCTTGTTTAAAACGTCCTGCTCTTCCTCTCCCTTCTGTCCTTCCTCTCGGATAGCACAAATAATCTTCAATCTTTTTCTAATATTTAAGGTTTTATTTTACTAAAGTCAGGTCCTCAACAAATCTAGAATGAATTTTTGATAGACATATTTTGTATATTTGAAATAAGGATCTAATTTCGGTTACTTCTAGGAGGGAATCACCAATTCTGTCAGTTTCATTTGCTAAGAAAGCCATCTTGTCTCTTCCCATTGAGAATGCACTGACTGTCACTATCACATTATATGTATACATGAGTGAGCATAAGATTGGACAAAATAGTCAGTGGTAGAGGATAGAGAATCAAAAACTTTATATATATATATAT